GTAGAGAATTCAATTCTCTATCGAATGAGACTAGAACCAGATTTTCAGATCATTCGGAAGTGGCTTAAACATAAAGAACAAAAGTGTCCCGTTTATTATGCGCCACCCGTTATAATGTTGATTCCTTAAAGTCGTTCTGGGATATGAATATGGTTGCTGATCATTAATAATAATATAATAGTTCTCATTGAATAGTTCTGAATAGTTTTCATTATGATGGTCTCTGTATTGTAGTCTTTGAATTGACATCTATGGAATATATCATAGTGATTAATTATTCGCTGAAAAATATCTGTTTCGCCATCGTTAATGGATAAAATACGTAAAGCTTCTAATGACTTAAATTTAGTGTAGGTTGCTTCTATTAATTTAGAATGTTTTAAACATACTTAACACGGTATGTTCGAAGAATACGGGTTTTTACTTTTGTTTACACTATTGAACAATCATTGATATTATTAATAAAAAATCTTGGTTAAAGCAGAAAGCTAATCACATGTTGGCTGCAACAATCATTGGGATAGTTGTTTTGTGCAATATTTCTATTTCTATTCTAATATATACATCGATTTTCGTGGTTATTTTCAAACATCGGCAACAATATCGGAAAGATATATCGATCTTATTAACATGTAATACTTGTTTAGCCGCCCTTCTCACTTGTGTTGCCGTTTGCATAATGACGAGCTCGAATCTATTTGGATCATTTCTGGTCCATGATATCAAATTCTGCTACATATGGGGTCTACTCTATGATATTTTCGAATGTTCAATATATTATTCATATTGTTTACAGGCGTTCTATCGACTTTGTCGAGTTGTATTCTATAAGAAAAAGCGTTTTTCTCTTTATTATTTGTACATAGTGTTAGTGTTTGGTCAATGGTTACTCACACTTTTCGTTTTATTACCAACAATCTTCATGAATTATTATGTTCAGCTGCCTGGTGAACAATATTGTCTTATTCCATACACAGACATTCGCACCTCGTTTTATCTCATCGGAATACTCTATTTGGGTCCATTAGTTTTCACTGCTGTTGTGTATTTTTGGATAACGAGATATATGCAAAATGCATCAACAATAACACGACAACGACAGTTGCAAAGAGATGTGATTGTAATCAAGCGTATCATGATTCTAGTCTCAATCTTAATTTTACTGCGATTTCCAACTATTGTTTTTATTGTATATGGGTTAATAGTTGGTCATCTCTATTATTTCACCTATGGAATATGTGCAATAATAACATCGATATGTTTGACATTCATCGCACTCATAACTGTATATATCACACCACAATTCAAATATTTAACCAAGAAAACATATCCAAGTCGAAGTAATCGAGGAGCTCTACAAATACAGTCATCATCCTAAAGAACAACAAACGCTCCTATCACTCAACGCGACATCAGCGATACAAATAACAACTACTAACTCTTCTGTCAACATCTGATATACCTTTATCTCAATTTCTCTTTTATCTCAACTGGTATAAGTAGAAACTCAAATATTTTTGCGTAAATCGGCAAGTCTCAACGCCAGCTACGTCGCTATCTAAAAAGTCTTACTTTAATCAACCGTCCACTGAGAAAAGTTCAAAATACGAAACGTGAACAATCGATTGTCAAAATTGAGGCGAGCGGCTCTGCTTTTTTATTTATTTTCGGTCCCTGAGAGACGGGTGACAGTTTATGTGAAAATCAGTCTTATTGAATTTCTTTTTTTGATATATTGAATTTTTTTTTGCGTAAAAGCAAAGAAAACGGTGATTAAAACTATACCTAATATTTATTTTTGATTCAAAGTTATTTTTATAGGTTTCTCTCGGTCGAGAATATGGTCAATATTGAGATTTCTGAAACATGCACAGGGTTTCAAATTTCAAAATTTTCCGACAACTGTTTTCGTCTAAAAATTCAGCGTCTGGTCTCAGCCTTAGGGTTTAGTAAGAAGAAATTCGATCAAAACGACGTTGTCATTGTTTTGTCATCGGTTCTTTTGTGTTTTGCTAACATTTTAAAAGTTTACAACTTATTTTTCACGACAAACAAATTGTTTGATTGTATTTATTTTCTGACTTAATCCTAAGGGAGAATTTTTAGACGAAAACGACGATTATCGAAAAATTTTGAGACACATAGGTAGACTCAGTTTTCGATGCTGTTTCCGAATATGCCAAGTTTTGGGGTGAAAGACAGATTATTGTAAACGAAACCGACCAAATACCGGTCAAAAATGGTCATTTTCCTGTATCCAAACTTGGGGTGGCATCTTTACCTTTACTTTACTCGTAACTATTAATAGTAACGTGCCACTCCTAATCCGAACAAAGCGGCCTCGACCTTTGTACAGTTTTGCATACTTTTTTCCAAACGAATTATACGTGTCCTTGTAGCCTGTAGAAAGCTCAGTCGAATGGTATAAAATTTGGAGTAGACAAACAGGACGGCAGACACTTAACGCGCCGCCCGATCTACTGGTATACAAATCATTTTTTTGCGTTAAGTAACAAGTGCAAAATTTGCCAACTGCTAACTTTTTAGAACGTTATCGACAATACAAATTTCCTTCATCTGGTTTAGAGTGTTACGGGAGCAGAACTATAGAGTGCTTTACCCAGTTTTCAAAAATTATGAGTACAGCATTGTTGAAAAACAAGTACAAACTACTATCTATCCCAAAATACAGTGCGGGTGGGTATTTTTAGAATAACTTTTGATAGAAATGTGATAGAGACCTGCGGTTTTCGCTGTTCGATAGCCAAGACTTGAGCGGAACTATTCACAAGCAAGAGCAACTTTTGAAAAAATTCCAGAGATCGGGTTTCCAGAGGATCTTTGGAAAAATAGCTCCGTTCTCAGAAAACTAACATACAATGTTAGTAATGTTTTTGCATGCGTACATAGTCCGGACGTTACTCTACAAAATTACGCAAGTCCCGGCTATCCAGCTATCATCGTTCGGACAGGGCTCGCTTTTCCCGAGCACATATCTATCTCCGACCAGACATCTCTGGGAATCTCAAAATGCCATGAAATATTCGGTAATCGACTACGCTGAGCATAGTGACAACATTTGTTTTTGTGTGGAAATGAAAATAACTTCGCTAGAGGCACTTTTGTGAAAAACCGGTTTTTCGCCTGTTACTAGCAAAAATTAAAATCCTTATATCTCGATCAAATCTCATACTGACTCAAGGAAGCTTTTAGGAGAGACTTAAAAGCTGCCATATATTGTTAATCACGCCGAAAAAGTGATCCAGCAGAACACTGATGCTTTGAGGTTTTTCAAAAGGTTTCTGGAAAACTTTAAACCAATGTCCGACTGAAATCCACCTTTTTCGTCTTCGATTATGTTTTTGAGCTGTCCTGAGCGTTTCCTGAAAATTTCTAAGTCAACATGGGATTTGATCGAGATATAAGGATTTTAATTTTTGCTTTAACTTTTGATAGCTGGATAGTCGGGACTTGCGTAATTTTGTAGAGTAACGTCCAGACTATGTACGCATGCAAAAACATTACTAACATTGTATGTTAGTTTTCTGAGAACGGAGCTATTTTTCCAAAGATCCTCTGGAAACCCGATTTTTGAAATTTTTTCAAAAGTTGCATTTGCTTGTGAAAAGTTTCGCTCAAGTCTTGGCTATCGAACAGCGAAAATCGCAGGTTTCTATCTCATTTCCACCAAAAGTTATTCTAAAAATACCCACTCGCACTGTATTTTGGGATGGATAGTAATGGAAATTCTATTTTCGATAAAATAAAAAGATTATGGCCAAAAATTAGCTCTAGTGTACTTTAAAAATGACAGTGCCAGTTTTATTGTTTTTTCTCTTTGAACTCACACTTCTTCATTCTACTTTACTTTCATGTAATATAAATAATAGAATCACATGAATAACAAAAGGAAAAGTTTTTATTTTAATTTTTTTAGAGACACTAATTTTATTACGACATCATTTATTTTCATTTTTAGAAGAAGACTAAACTCACTATGAATTCAGTCTAAATTCTGCCAACATCATGATTCAAAATCAAAGTAATTAAACAGTACCAATTTCCACTTTTTGTACTATTTTGAAGTGTACGCGTCAGATACCATATATCGTATATGTGAAAATAAAAACGACAGCCAACTTTTCTAAAATTGATAATTAATAAAAAAAATATTCTGCTATGCATGAGAAACACATCGAGTATTTGTAATGAGTTTCTTGAAGATAAAGTCTTCTAGGTTAAGGAGAAAAACTTCTTTTGCAGTGCATGAGTACTCCAACAAATTTTAAAATTTAAAGTCTGATGCCAAGGTAAACAGGTTTTGGAAAAATGCTGATATCTCAGTAACAGCTTCTGATCAGAGAACTCCGAGTGTGTATTTTAAAAGCTCTCAACATCAGCTATAATATAAACTATAAAAGTTTCTTTAAAATGAGAATCACTTTTTAAGTGCATTCGCTTTTGATTGGCTCTTCTCTCAATTTTTCATGCCGTCAGTCCACATACCATTGATTCTTATCACCGTTTGAAAATTATAAATCTAAAATTGAAAGATTTTTTGAACTAGATACTAACTGCCCTGTGGGTAGATTGGAAAGTCGATCGAGTGAAACGTTTCTACAGACACTTTAGACACCGTTTGAAGTTTTGTGAGAGAAAGTTGTTTGATATATGGTGTGCCCTAGTGGAACTTCTTGTAACCAAGATCTTGAATTTTTTGGGAAGATCTTGGTAAGAAAATATAAGAATTCAAGAACTTTCAAGAAGTCAAGATCTTGGAAATTCTTGAATGAACGTTTTGTTTTACACTCTTGTGTAACGAACGGGTGTCCCAGAAATAATGGCACCGTTTTAATTTCCAGTTACCCGTTTCAGCTTTTGAGCTCGCGACCTAATTGTTTTTCCAGAAGATGCGCCTTGAAATACTCTACAAAATCATACCTAAACTATAATTTCAGAACCTCAATCAAGAAAACTGAGCCAATTAAATGAAAGTCGAAAAAAATGAAAACTTTCCAAAGTCAAAAACGATTTATTGTATTAACATTTTGAAAGTAAGAAAAACTGAATTAGCCATTTTGTAACCCTGATTTCGCTCTACCTTACAGCTGCACTTCAAATTTTTTCACATTACAAGCCACGGCGAAATAATAGTTTTTCTGTCAGTTGTCATGCATTTTTTCATTAGTTTTTTAAATTTTCAGTATAGTAGTGCTTGCAGTAAAAGTCCCATAATTCCATCAAAATAAAAGATTTTTCGGTCAGGTTTGTTTTATTTTGATCAGAAATGATTACTCTTCTCTGTCTAACTGCAAAACCAAAATTTCAATCATGTTTTCCGTGTTTTGCTTGAGCATATTGTTAGAAACGGGGAGATTGTCAACTTTTGACGTATTTTTGTAACTTCGTTGTCGAGCACACCATCTGTTCTAAAAAACTGTTTACAGACCATGAGAATCAGTACATTTGAAAGTACCAAGCATAAACTGATTTCTCACTTTTGCCACAGTTTTTAGCGAAAATAGTAGCAGAAGAAAAAGTTCAAATCGAAACAAATTTTTAGTGTGGAAAGTTTTCATTTAATTGGCTCAGTTTTCTTGATTGAGGTTCTGAAATTATAGTGTAGGTATGATTTTGTAGAGTATTTCAAGGCGCATCTTTTGCAAAAAGATTGCTACTCAATTACTAAATGCAGTTGAGTTTAATCGTTATTCGTATTTTGGTCTTGCTTTAGTTGCTGCTGAAACGCATACTGATGTGGTGATGTCACTCTGGCGGTATGGTGCTGTTTTAGCTGATAAAACACATGTGTATTTAAAAAAAATAAACAAAATGATGAGTAACTTGCATCCTTGTGTCATATTATAGTAAATAGTCGTATAAAATAAAACGTGTCCGAAGAACAAAAAAAAAAAATGTATGTAATTTGAATATGCTTGTTCTTATTTGCAAAAGGTAAGTTGGACGATAAAATTGTCTTACCTGTTAAAAAGAAACGGTGATGTTCGTATGATGTAGGAAAGGTCTGAATTTTCTTATATCGAATGAAAACTTCAGGGGGATGAAACAAAATACGCGACGTCTTACGCACTAGAACAACAATGTTAACGATTTCTCTTATTTTTAGAAATTTTATTATGATATACAACATATTCATTACTTTTGTATTAATTTTCATATTTTTACCATTTAATCAAGCTCGTTCTATCATAACTGATGACAGCGATGATAACCAACTGTCGTACGGGAACAATTTAAACCATGAAGAAAGTGTCAATTTTGTGTCAACATTATCGCAATATCGTCAACGTATGGAACATTCGCATTATTTGAAATTATTCAAATTATCGTTAAAACGCAATTCATCTCAAGTGTATTGTGAATTTTGTCAACTCTTAGTACCTGTAGTACGTAAAAAGGCATTTGTCTTCGAGATTCTTTCTTGCCACCACAATGCCGATCTTTTAGGCACGTGTATTAATCGAACGAAATCAAAGTCAGCATATTGAAAATGGTAAGTTTACCAACATTATTCAACAAGACAAATTTTAAGAAAAGAAATCTACAATTTTTAGTTGCTATTACCTTTTGCAAAGAGTTCAAACTGATCGATGAATCGGTGTGCATTGGCGCAGTTCATGAATATAAGGTAAAATATATTAGACATAAGCTCAGTTTGTTGGCTAGAAATTTCTTTACTTAACTCTCACACATACAGTGGGCATTTTCCACTATGCAGGCAGAGATAAAATGTTTTTTTCATCTGAAAGATTCGTTCTTTAACTTAGAATGATATTCTAGAGTACCGTATATGTGTGGTACGCATAGGAGAACATTTTGTCACAGTTTGAGGAAAGTTGAAGATGAGAGCACTTACTATACTCAACAAATCTTTTAGGCAAATTAGTTAGCTTGAAAAAAGTTTTTATCTTTTTGCGAGAGTGTAAAACAAAAAACGCTTTTGCGTCGTAGGGAACCAAATGTGTCTTAATTCATTCTCTATAAGTTATTATTTATAATTTTGATGGATAACGTACAGTACAACATGTTAGTAGGTTATCTGTTGATTCCATTAAATTTTATATTGTATTTTAATATGAATTATCATTAAAATAGGATGCTGTGATACAAGTGGTAGGATTAAGTAAATTAACAAGCAAACAATTGTGTGCATTGGCTTTTGGTTGTGAACAACAATCACAGATACCAGCGTTGAATTGGAATGTGACATTTCCAAATGTGCCAAAACCACCTGTATCACCACCACAGCCACCAGCGGTAAGTAATCTTAAATAAATCCACTAAAATAATGACATCAGTCCCACTGCTACTTTGTTTAAAGTTATAACAATGTGCACTAGTTTTTAGTTTAAAAATAATTATTTTTGAGTGTTCAAACCAGAAATAGTAGACTTCTGGACTCCGGGCCCCCAGTGGACTCCTGACGTCTAGAAGTTCGTAGAAGTGTTGTTATTGTATGAAAACCTGTTACTATGTTCAACAATTAATAAAACATCTCTAATAACATCGTCCATAGTTCCTTTATTATGGCTCGTTTGTTTCCAATCTTGGCAAAGGTTTTAAATTTATCTTTCTCAATATATATTTTTGATCATAATTAATAAACAAACAATAAAATGTACCATAGTTTCACGAATATAAAATAAAATAAAAATATATATCCTTGGGACTACAAGAGACTCCACTAGATTCCTGGACTCTTGAATTCGAGGAGTCTGCTGTTTCGCCCTTGCATTCGCTACTTGATAATCAACTGGAATTTTACCTCAGGGTTCCCATTTGCCAATATTTCATTTATTTGAATCTATAAAAATAGATTATGGGTTCTAATAAGACTGTTGGACCTGTTTCACTTAGGTGAGAAAAGTTTGTCATTAAATAATAATGTTATTGTTTTCACAATAGAATAGAACAACTTTACGAGTAGTTTAAATGTTTTGAACCAATTGCGAACAACTATTTTATAGGGTACTGTCCAATGGGGAAAAAACGAACTCCTGGACTCCAAGGAATCCACAGGAGTTCAAGGAATCCACGGGACTCCTTGAGAGTGTGACAGCTCATTTCAGTTCAGATGAATTGAGCTGGTCGACCAGTTAATTGAGCTGTGAACTCGTATAAGTTCGTCCCCAAAACAGAACAAAAGTGTTCTGGCTATGGGAACGGCTTCCAGAACAGAACAAATGTGTTCATTTTGGGAAGTGATTCCCAAAAAAGGACACTTTTGCTCTTGGACTCCTCGACTTCAGGAGTCCATGGGAGTCCATAGAAGTCCACAGGAGTCCAGGAGTCTGCTATTTTCCCCTTGGTACTGTCTTATTATTCAGGTGTACACATGCTAAACTTTCGAAACGTTGTATTTGATATGAAATTCCCGTTGTTCTAATTCAAATGAATATATGTTTTGTGTGACTTTATTTAAGCCTGGTGCACCCAAAATGAGAATTCTTCATATATCTGATATCCACATTGATTTTGCTTATCGACCGCAAAGTCTTGCTGAGTGTTCTCAACCACTCTGTTGTCGATATGGAACACCAGGTAACCCGGTGTTGTCCTGATAAACTAAGATCAGTTAATTTTATTTTCATCTCTGTAATAGCGCCTGGTCATATTGGAGCTGGATTTTGGTAAATTAGAAATTTAATTATCGTTTGATCTATGACTGATTGATTTTTGTATGCTTAGGGGAGATTACAGAAATTGCGATTTACCATTATGGACTGCTGAAGAAATATTGAAGTATATTGCAGAAATGGAAGAGGTATAAAAAAACGTTTTCTTAGAATAGAAGTACAAAAAAATAAACAGACATTTTTTTAGTTTGATATTATTTATCATACAGGAGATTTGCCATCTCACAATGTGTGGAATCAATCTCGTGCAGATCAATTATATGCTATTGAGACTATAACAAATTTACTAAAAAAATATTTTCCAAATAAAGTATTTTATTCTGCGGTTGGAAATCATGAAACAGCACCGTGTAACCTATATCCGACACCATTGATAGAAACTGATAATATCACATGGTTATATACATCATTGGCTGACCATTGGATTCAACTAGGATTACCAGAAGAAACAAGAGCGAGTATATTGCGTGGCGCATTTTATACTACACTCATTCATTCTGGTTTGAGATTAATATCATTAAATATGAATTACTGTTCAACCGAAAATTATTGGTTATTTATAAATTCTACGGATCCATTAGATCAGTTACAATGGGTATAAGCAGTTTCAAACGATAGTATTGAAAAGTTTTATATGTGTTATTTTAAGCTCGTCAATTGGCTACAATATGCCGAAGACAATAATGAAAAAGTAATTATTTAGAAATAGTTTGCCGCTTGTATTCTGGAATAATAAAGCTTATACAAAAATCGGAACATAAAAAACATACCAAAAAAAAAATGACTGCTAATAACATCGAGTCGATTGCCCAAAATCGTTGTAAAGAATATAGACACAGAACAGTGAATGTAGTTTTACAGTTTAATGCAAAAGCTAAGTTCGTATGTTCGAATCTCTATTCGCAGAAAATTGATTTTGTGTTTTTCGAGATTACCGAACACTTGGACTCGCAACATTTGGGCCGCAACGACAGTCTATTTTTCTCTATCCGATAGCCCGTGTAGAAGCTCTCATCATTACAGAAGACAGTTTTCTTGGTTTGCTTTGAAAATGTTGTAAAGGGTTCGTAGTGAATTAAATTGCGCATGATAAGGACAGTCATTAAGAAAAACTGAATTATCCATCCACATATTTCATTCATACTTGATAGAAACAGAAGAATTCAGAAAGCTGAAAAAATAAATAGTGTAACAAAAAACTGAAATTATAATAAAATATCTCGTATGCTACGTCTTTTTAAACATTTACTGCAACTATAGTTGAAGCAAACGATTGAGTTCAGATAAACTCACAACTGCGTCAGAGTGTATAAGAAATCGTTGTATAACGGATCGCTTAAGTGTCGGGTAGCTCACGTCTTGGTGCTCAAACGTCGTTAAAACATGAATTTTGAGGTCCAACTATTTTTGCGCGTACCTGTCGTTGTGTTCAAGTGGCGTGCGCACCCAAATGTCGGCGCTCTAGAATCAGTATACGGTTTTCCAATAGTTTTGGTTTAAAATACTATAACACACTATTTTTAAAGTTGTATTCTAAAAGAATAAAGCTTATATCAATTATATCGTGTTTATTTTTGCAGATTCTTGAATAATATCACTTTCTTTCAGGTTCATATTATTGCACATCATCCACCCAGATCGTGTCTAGAATCCTTTAGTTGGAATTTTTACAGAATTGTTAATCGGTAAGTATAATAAATTACAACTGTATTTGTTGTCATTATTTATGATCTATAGATACGAAAATACTATAGCCGGACAATTTTACGGTCATGCACATAACGATGAATTTATTATGTTTTATGATGAGGTTGATAAAACACGTCCAGTTTCAATGGTAAAAATAATGGAGCTATTTTTCTACTAACGCTGATGTTGTTTCTATGAGAGTATTTTCATACAACTTCTTACACTGCTTACCTAACCAAGAAAGTAGCGAAATATCATCATACTGATTCTTTGAAGCATCACAAAGTTAGGTAAAGAACAGCTACTTCTTAGCTGTTCAATCCATGCGGAAAGTTCTCATCCTTTGCTGACAAAGTACAGTTTTATCTGTTATTCCTAACAAGTTATCGAAATACCGCTTTTATCCAGAACTTTGCACTTTCTAATAATGATAACCACAAAAAAACATGCAAATCTAACGATTTTTCGTTCAAAATGAAATACTTTTTCATTATTTTTCTTCGAAGAAGTTTTACTTGACGTTCTTCTTATTAAGCCAAGATGTGTTTTTGTAATAGCTATGATTTGATGAATGTCTAAGAAAAATATGTTTTATTTTACATATCAGTAGACAGCGTTATCAAAATTTGTTCGAATGTCACAAAAACAAGATTTGAAAGACTTCGTCAGACACCCAGTTCCGTTGCACACCATTCAAGCTTGATATAATTTCCCCAAAACGTGTCTTATTTTACAAGAATGACACAAAAATTATGAACCCATAAATGTTGAGTTTTCCCACAGTTATCCTAAAAACCAGGGTAAAAGAGTAGATGTTCGTGCGGCAAAGATTTCTCCATCAGTTTAAGTTCTAAAAAGCTCACGATGGTCTCAAAATGTAGATCAAGCCTTGATGTTAGAACTTCGCAGAGCCGAAGTTTTCAGATTTCATCTTGTTTTCTCGATCTTAGATAGAAAACGTGGAAAACATTTTCTCAAAGAACTTCATTTTTCCCGCAAAACTAGATTCAAATCAAAAATGCGCTTACTTCAGTTGTAGCCCTAACTTGATCTATCCAACTATGTCTAAATCTCAAAACCGATGTTTTCGACGAAAATTAACTTTTATGACGAGAGAGCTCTTATAGCACTATCTGTGTAGAATCGATACTCTAGTCCCTGAAACCTTCTTTTGAATTGTACGAGCTACTCAAGCGGAAACTACAAATCACCTTTTCGAGACATTATTTCTGATACAGCTCGAGGAGCTAATCAAAAGCCGTTCGTTTGTGAAATCTTTAGGGTTGGTTTTCGAAAAACTTTCGCTATCATCTTGTCTCCATATGTGAAGAGAGACCAGGGTAATCTTTTATTCGTAATTAGCGTCAGAAACATCATAAACACTATTCTCTACATTTTATCACGAAGTGGAAGTTTTGCACAAAATTTGTAAAAAATCAATTCGAATAAAACTTGTCTGTACATCTCAAAACAGTAAAAAGCGAGAAAAGTTGCACGAAACCAACCAACATTTATTTATTAATTAGGCTTATGTAACACCATCGTTAACAACAGCCTCATTTTTAAATCCGGGTTATCGTATATACACGGTCGATGGTTATCATGATTCCACTACATATTGGGTATTGGATCATCATACTGTAATAATGAATTTAACAGCATCGAATTTGTTTAATAGAACAATATTTATTGATGAATATTCAGTTAAAACTGACTATCAAATGGATTATCTGTTCCCAAATGACTGGAATAATTTTATTAATCGGTTAGAAGCTGATATTGATGGTAATTTAATGGGATTAGTTTATCAATACTATACAAAATCGTTTGCAAACGGCACAGTCTGCGATCACAATTGTCGTGAAGGACTGCTGTGCAATTTTAAAAGAGCTCGATCGGAAACACCATGTTCTGATTGATTTGTGTTATCTTAAAATTATTTGTATATTGCCAATGTTGTCTTTACTCGTGCACAGCATGAATTTCTCTTTCCTTACATACCATTTGAGTTATTGATATTTTTCACCTATTCCATTGTTTTCTTTAATAAAAACTTTTTTCAATACAAAACATAATTCCAACAGCACATTACTTGCAACATGTTTGCACTCTGTAAAAAGCTTTAGCATTTACTGGCATACTAATCACAACATCTTAATGCTTCGTCAAGAACATTAATACATTCTAGTTTTAATATTTCTAATCTAGTGTAAAAAAAATTTTTCAAATTAATGGTCAGCGTCAAAAGTTCAAAAAGCCGCATTAACTTGCATACACAAAACTGAACATCAAATAATAACAGTTACTTAAGAGTGACAAAAAAGTTAAATTTTTCTGATTTCAAATTTATATCTGTACTAGAAAACAAATTACAAAACTACGAATCTTTTCAAACCTCTGTACCTCAAACTAATTGAGATATCGCATAGAATACAATACACCACCTTTTTCATCATGAAAATCGACTATTTTCTGTTTGAGACGTTTCGTCTTTATTCAAAAGACATCCTCAGTCAAATGTGACAGACGAAAGTTGGTTAAAATAGAAGAAAAAATAAAAATACACGTATGTAGAACGCAACAAATAAAATGGATAAAATACAACTTTTCTTTTCCACAATATATGACGAACGAATTATGTGTCGTCAAAATACGTTAAGTTCAAAGCTTTTTTGAGAATAAATTAGTCTTATCTTTTGATCAATATGAATATTCATCAACAAGCTCTCTTTAATAGTTCTTCTTATAAGATGTGACT